ACCCGTATCGGCAGCTTAGCAGCTCGATAATTATATTGTATAGAGATCAGCGAATAAGACGCGTGTCCGCCATTTTCGATTCGTATTTTGCCTAAATATGCATTACATATTGCTGCGCTTATCTTGTTAAGTCATGATCACAGCCCCAAGCACCTTCACCTTAACATTTTATTGGATACATGTAATTAATTTTTGCTTGCAAACTTGTCCAATAGTCAAGCAATGTTTCTACGAGTACGTATCTATTGTTCCAGTGCAAACGAGGAACTTGCGATAATGACACGAAATCATCAACTGGAGATGTCGAAACTCACTGCGTTAACCAAGAAAGCCGAATTGAAGATCTCTTCGCTTCAAGAGACCTTGGCGCAAAAAACAGAAGAAAACCAGACCTTCGTGGCAATGTGTGATGAGCTAATCAACAACCAGGCGAAGTTCGATTCGTCAACCGTTGATTCGTCGCACATGGCCACCTAGAAGAAATAAAAATATGTTCATGAAGTAGTATTTCTTTATTCCACGAGGAAATGATCTTAAGAAACAACAAAAATAAGTTTTCTGAAAAGTTCTTTAAGTAATCATATATATTAAAGCTTTAAAGAGAATGATTTTGTTGTCCCTCTTATTCGGCTCTCACTAAACTGTTTTAAACAAGTGAGGTACCAAACAACAAGAGAAAAAATAGAAGTGGTCACTATATATTTAATATATCACATGTTTCCTTTATTAGTGAAAGGCTAAGGTATTTGCATCGTTTCAAATTCACGGCTAAATGGAAATTGCAAGATGGCGGCAGGCGCAACTTGGCAATTTCGCAGGACATGGATGAGCAGTTGATCTTAGTGCATAGTGATCTTATTCTTATTTAGGAATTATATTTCATACATTTTGTTACATACATATTGATAGCACGATTTGCTGTTGTAGATCCAAACATATATATATATATATATATATATATATATATATATATATATATATATATGTATGTTTGTGTGTGTGTGTGTGTGTGTGTATTATATATACGTGTAAGTCTCCATCGTGGTCGCCGATCGGAGGTGCCCTGGGGAAGAAGCGGTTGCGGCAGGACACTGGCCACACGGCTCCGCAGTCGCGTCCCAGAATTGTTGCCCGGATCCAGGAAAATAACGCAAAAACTTCCGCCACTGTTTATTGGCGTCGGAGATTGTACAGGGGAATTGTTTATTGAGAAGGGCCACACCTCCGTCGTAGTTGATGCAGCGGTCGCGGGACAACATATCTCGATCAGGTTTTTGTCCAGTTTCCCTGGTCCATTGAGCAAATGCTGAGATGGCCCCTTGTTTTGCTTCTGGGCGAAGAAGAAGATGAAGAAGAAAAAGAAATTTAAAAAAATGAATATTAGAATATGTTGCATGATCTGTTCCATTTCAATATTTTTTTTTTTTTTTGCTTCAAATTAATAATAGAATACAATAATTCTGATATTACATTTAGGTTGTGGACAAACCAGTCCTCAAGAACTGGTTTGCCAACTAATGCTGATCAAGCGACTACTTCTAGGCAATCACGGAGTATGCTCAAGATGAGGAGGCTCTGGAACATCCAACATCTCTGGAGTTGAAAATTCTCCAAAAAGTACCTAAGTCTGAGGACTATCATTCTTAATGAGCCTTTTGCCACACCTCATTGACATGAACCCTCTTCAAAAATAGTCAGTAAGAAAATAAAAATGGTTCAAGTGATTATTATTGAAAAGAACAAATAATAATTAATTTCATGCTATTCCAATTTTTTAATTTTTTTATCAATAATCACTTGTACAGCAATTTTGGACATATTGAAAGAGGTTTAGCTGGTGGCCATTTCTTCTTTGCAAAAATGCAGCATATCAAAAAACAGCCATATTAGTGTTTAGATGACATCCAGCAGTGTCAGAAGTGCATTTATTCACTTCATTTAATTCTTTTCCTGCATGTGTTCCCAAGGTTCTTCCACATTAATAGAATCTCATCTTTTGTAAATAATTATGTGTACAGCCAAATAAATAAGAAGAAAATCTGTTTCTTTTTATTTGGTGCAGTTTCTGAATGTTATTAGAATGTTGAGGTAGCACGTTTGTAAATGTTTTATTCTGTATTCAGTTATTAATAATGTAATAGAACATACTAGAGTTTTGTTTTGCCTAAAAAGTTGCTGTAAGCAATGGTGGAGATTTAGGTCCATTTTATTAAATAAAACTCAGAAGCCAGAAAAGATGTTCGTTTTTGCAAAGTATGGGAAACAAATGGCAATATTCCTCACGCTCCTGCCATACTGAACAAATTGCATTAATCCATTTTCATTGCTTCTGATTTAATATTTACTATTTTAGACAAATACTTTTGAATAGCAATAACTATTTTTAGCTAGTTATGCAAATTATACTGAAGAACATGAATGAGCATTGATTGTTATTAGCAAGTTATTTTTTTCTTTTTTTTCTTCTTCTTCAATAAACTAGCTCATAAAAAGTGATCGTTTAAACAATTTTTTGAGAACACAAAAGTAAACATGAAATATATTAATAATTAATGAATATTAATTAATTATTAATGTTAATTAATGAAAATAACAAAATTCATTAATTTGTTTATACAATATGTCAATATTCGAATAAAAGTCCTAAAATTATATACTTTCTTTCTGTAAAACTTTCACCTGGTACTATAATACTCTTTGCAAATTAGAAATTTGTCAATTTGCAAGACTTCCAAATCCATGTCACATATTAATACTTAAATATCAACTAATGCCATTAATGCTATATTTCATAACAAGAGTTCTGGGTATTAGTATGTACTGATTGATGCTAAAGCCACAAATAAATAGAGCTCAGATTTCTATTCAGTAAAAACGCCTAAAATATGCATATATTTATGCATGATAAATCATAAAATGTGCAATAAATTATGCAGTATAAAATTCATAATCAAATGAAAGTTCATTAGTAAAATGCAATGCAACATACTTGTAGCAAAATTTGAATTGTGTTGCAACTGTATTATCTATTTGAAACATGAAGATAATAATCATTGGGAGAAAAATGTTTTGAAAATAATTTTATTTTTCAATTTCATTTATTTAATCATGTATTGGAACACCGTCATTTGTTTGTGTTCTAATATTTGGGAATTCTATTAATTTTCTTCAAATTGCACTGAATATATTGAAATATGTAGTAATTGTAAAATGTGTTAACCATTGTATTTAATGTGTTCAAAATATGTATATCACATTGTGGCCTTTTTCAGAGCTATACCGAGTATACTGCAGTATAGCTTCTTCAGAGATATACAGCAGTATAGCTCTGGAGAAGGCCAAAACGTCAGCTCGGTCAACTGAAAAACAATTGTGATGAGTCACCATTAAAATGGCAATATTCTGTATTATTATAAAAATTTCATTGCCATGTGGCTCTGAGCTCTAAAGAACGGGAAAATCTCTATGTTACAAATTGGAAAACATGTTCGTCACCATCATGGAGATCCGCCTTCTTTTCTAAAAGTTTCCAGAAAGATTCCCACAATCACCGTGATATATAAAGGGACCACTCAAGCTGGTTGAAGAAGCAGTTCCCTTGGGAGCCACGCCAGGGGGAGTTCTGACGGAAACCACACCAGAGGCAGTTCCGGTGAGAGCAATGCCGGAGGCCCTCACTACACCACTACAAGAAGTCGAGCCAAATAACATGATGTCAGCAGCAAGCCCTGCCCCGCCGTCACTGCTGAGGAAGCAATGGATGAATGGTAGAATGATGTGGTAAGCAGCCCCCATTGTGGAACTCGACTCCCCACCTCATCTGATTAGTGTGCTTCTCATCTCTTTCCTTCCCCGTCTGTCTCTCCCCAAGTAATGCAGTAAATAAATATTATTCGAACTCATAGACCTTTGGCTCATCACGACTTCTTCCCCCTTTTCCTCTCAGTGCATAACAAACCACCAATAAGCAACCACTGTCCTCCCATAATCCTGACCACGCCTCCCTGGGAATACACTGTAACCGATCAGCTTCACACAATGATTATTCTTAATTACATTTTTATTCAGCAATAAAAAAAATCAAACAAACCATTACAAAAACTTCAATAAAGAGCCAGTTCATTACATAAAGGTAATTTTGTAACACATTCACATTCGCAGTTCTTGTGCACTATTTATATTTAAAAGCGGAAGAAAGAGTAAATTCTACACAACTTAAACAACAAAATTTTTATGCAATTTTTATTACACCTTTCTACAGATACATCTAATGTAGGATTTTTTTAATATTCTGGAATGATGAGAGGTTTTCTTTGGTGTAATTCGAGAGAGATATACAACATGGTGCTAATATATACAGAACATATAACTAAATATTTCTCTGACAAAAATATATTAGGGATATTCAAGATGTTGAACATTTATTCTTTTCATATATACAGAACATAAACTAGGATTATGAAATCAAATACAAAGCAAATTCAACTTTACAAACACACAGATCTTCCATTTCTGACTTTTTGTATACAATGTTTACAACATTGTGACCCACCACAGGACACAAAAGAATCTTAACCTTTAAGTGGAAACATTGGTCTTTCAGATCCTAGTGCTATTTTTATTTTTTTATATTGACTACACTGGTTACATTGCAACTTCGCTGAGTTATGTGTCATAAGGGAGCCTCTCTGTGGTGATACCAAGGGGTAGAATTTTGATGACCTACAACATTCCTGAAAATGACCAATAAAATGCTTTAAAAATGCCCTAAAACAAAAGAAAAATTATGTAAAAAAATTGATCAAAACCACTTTAGATGAACAACTCAAGCTGTTGGATATGTTGCTGTAATCGAAGCTTCTTCCTTTTATCAAGCCCTTTAAACTTTTGATTTGGACTGTTCTTTAAAAGAAAATCTCTGCCTTTAATTATCGTGAAATCAGACAAACTGACAATGGCACCGATAGGTGTCACAGGAACCTTAGATTATATAGTACTCTCAAAGACTGACATTCCAATACACGAGTGAATAAATTGAATAGGCTACTCAGGAATTGTATTGTGATCATTTCTTGCACCTTGTAAATATTGTTTGAAGCAAGAACCATTAAAATGATATAGCCAAGGTTATTTCATTATTTATTTCAGTTTAGTTGAAAATTTCCAAAGAGAACAAGCATATAAACATGTCTTGTCGAAGTCAGCTGTTGATCCATTTAGCCTAACAACAAGGAGATAAAGTGATGAAGACAATTGTATAAAAACATTCATTTGCACCAGAGGATGAAGATTTCTCGGGTTCTACTCACAAAACAAATTCAGAAATTGATGAAAATTATAGTGAAGAAAGGGAGTTCAGATTCTGATGCAACAGATGACATCAATCAGTTTTTCTTGTAGGAAAGAGAATGTTTCACATGGAGTTCAGAGCAAACAAACAAGAGTGTACACAAGGACACTAATATTATTAAGGTGAAATGGTCTTCACTAAAAGGTGATTGTCTCAAAAAGAGAATTCTAGGCCTGAAGAAGTGTGGAGCCGATAACAAAATTATTACTGAAATAATTAGGCATACAAATACAGAGCTAGGACTGATCAGAAGTAACCTCAAAATACACAAATGAAAATCCCTGATACAAAGGCACTGTTATGATGAAATTGAAGTATTCACATGTTTGATGAAATTATGCACTATCTTCAAATCCAGTCGAGAACAGGCACTCAGTTCTACAGATGCCCAATATTTCAGGGAAGTATGTCATTGAAATGTTGTTAAGTCCTTTTATTGGCTTTGAGATTTGACGACTCATCTACATGTAAAGAAAGGGAAAAAGAAGATTCAGCTGCAGCAATTTCTTTTAATTTCAATAAACTGATATCAAACAGAAACTACAATATTGGAGCACTTACCCTGTTCAGAGAAAAGTGTCAAGTTTAGCATGTACATGCCAAATAAACCAGCAAAATAGGGGATAAAGCAAATGTATCTCACCAATGCACATAATTATTATCTTGACAATAATTGCTAAAAAAAGTGTCAAAAGCTAACTGGCGAAATATGACATTAAGACTTCGATTCTATGTGACTGTAATTACTTCATGTTTTGCAACTCAAATTAACACATATAAATCTTTCCGGCAGAGAATCAGAAAAAATCAAGGCCTGAATTTTATCAGATATAAGTAGTGAATTGAAGGCGCATAATCCTTATGTTGTGATATTTCTTCATATTTTTACATGTTCTCGTCTAAAAAGGAAAACAATCTGGGCACAATAACAAAAAAATATTCCCCAACAAATGCACCATAAAGAAGTTCACAACTCTTCCTTTTATTTTACACCAGACACTACGATTGTAAACTATCGATCGTAAGACAGGAACATAGTTCTTATCACTCTGTACTGACACAAAACAATTAGCAATACAGAAGCCACAAAACGTGCAATAATTTTGCATTACAAAGCAACAAAAGGCGCAGTTGATACTGAATTTGAAAGTTTTTTTGCAAACTCATATTACCAATATTCCATTTTGACACACAAGATATTAAAATATAATGAAATGTGTAGCGATAAGTAAAATACGTAATTATACAAAAATATGTAAAATAAAAACTTCTTTAATGTTCCTAGAATGCGATATAAACAGTAGAAAGATATATCAAATACAGATATCTTCTACCACTGAAAACAATTTTGCATGGAAATCCATTCCCTACTAATTACAAGTGCATTAAGTGTGAAACACCGAATTACTAGGAGTGTTCCAAGAATTTTGGCTATGAATGACAGAAGACCAAATTTATATTGAATTATGGAATTATTATAATCTAAAACAAATATATAACACTGAATTTCACACTATCTTAAAACATTCCTATAACAAGCCTGCTTTAAGAATTTCAAGTTAAAAAAATTATATTTGGGAAATTGTCATCCAAAGACTAGTCTCAGTTTTTAGTTATATAAGAAGTACATTCAAGAATGTAAATTGAAACAAGAAATAAATCGCAGGGTTTGATACACCAGTGTCACCTATAACATAATAAAATTTGTGTTACCACTTAAAGGTTAATAGACATACTCTTCCACAAGTTGTTCACCAATCATACTGCACTTTTAGTACCTGTATATATTGTAATTACAGGTAGTGTGTAGTGAATCTGGGACGGGCTTTGAGTTTTTGGTGCCAAGGGCTAAATAAATGGGCACCCTCACACATTAAAAAAAACAAAACTAATTTACAAAACATTTTTTGATATTAATTGCTATTGTATGTACTACTGCTCCTATTTGCTAAATAATTTTTTAAAATTATTATGAATGTTTTAACATTGGGTAACATTTATTAACTGAATATATACAAAATAAATAATTTAAAAACTTAACAAGTGTAAAAGTATATAATTTTCAAAAATGTTGGCAGTCTCAGGTACCCAGTACCCACAGTAACTACCCTGCTCACCTTGCCCAAAATCCGCCCCAACTGAATCAAGAACAATATATCATGCAACATGATATGATATGTTGAAGAGATAATGATAATTAGCGGGCAGATTTTGATGACAAAAAACATTACCAAAAATGATCAATAGAATGTTCTTGAAATGTTTTAATTACCCTAAAAGCAGAGAACAATGACTTAAATTTTTTTTCGATTCCAATTCAGATGAATAACTCAAGCTGTTGGATACGTTACTGATGTAATCGAGGCTTTTTTATTTCGTTCAAGTGAACTCAGCATGAAAAGTTTTGGTTTTTGACTGTTCTTTAACAGAATTTCTGCCTTACCAAACAATCGTCTGTCGTTACAATTGTCCAAACACACAACGATGCTGTTAGGTTTTTCAGACTATTCTCACAACGGCTGACACTTCAAAAACTGAGCAAAGAAATGGAATAGGCTACTCAGAAATTCTGTGGAGAACATTTGTTGCTAATGTCTTTACTGAAAGGCATTGCTCTAAACTGAAAAGAAAAATGACATTTCATTGAAACGTGCCCACTAATCACCATCATCTGCACATGTACTAGGCATGTTACCTGATCATATTTAATCAGTAGAACTGGTAGCTATATCTCTGGGTGTTCTTGAATGATCCATATCTTCATCCTGTATCTCTCTGTCCTAGGAGATTCTTCTTTAAGGCATCTTTTGGTAATCTTTGCTTTATCATAATGTGAACATGGGAAAACCATCTCTTCTGGTTCTCTTACATCCTTATTCCCTCCTTTTGCCAATATTCTTTGTTTTAAGGTCCTAATTTCTTTGAGGTGTAGTCTTATGATTCCTGTCAGGTGATATAGCAATCCCATCAGAGTAGCTTCCACACTTTGGGCGTCTCTGAGTTTTAGAATCCACATTTCTTAGCCATACTTCAACTCATTTTCCTTTTATTTCATTCAACACATTTTTTGTCATTTAACTGATCTTTATAAGAGGCTCATTGGTTGATCATGAGTGCCAGCATTAATAATTTCCCACACGGTTGCACAATCCATGTAAATAAGAATAAAAAAGATACTAAAAGATGATTGGATAATGTACATAAAAATAAGTAATAAGTAACCTTGCACAAACGTAGACAAAAAAACATCTTTATTCAAGGAACGTTGAAAACGGAACTGTTTGTAGGTATCAACGAGTTCATACAATTTCAATTCCTTTATTTGCAGTCAAGAAAAATAAAAACATATAGGCATCTCTAAACAAGAAGAACACTAACTTGTAATGCTATTTCTTGGCGTTTTCAAACTTATTTTTCAAGGCATTAAATCTCCATTATCAATCCAATATTGCAAAAGAAACGCTTATTTTCATCACCATTGTGTGACATGTGGTTATATGAGATAATAATTTCAGCAAGACATTACCTTCCAGCAAGGTGCTCACAACAACCAATCCAATGACTAAAACTGTGTTCAAATGAATTAAAGAAAAGTATTTTGAAATATGACAAAAATGAGAAAATAGTGCATCCTTGAGAGTGAACAAGAATATTTATTGATGTCAAGACCATGTTAATTTGTTCAACAGGCGTTGTTTTAAGCTATCACTCTTTCTTTTTGAGTTCCAAGAGAATATCAATCATGCTTTGCTGTCTTCTTTCCAATGCCATTTTATTCTGCCTATCCTCGGCAATCAAAAGGAGCTTCTCCTCACGTTCCTTTTTCTCCACTTTCCACTTCTCTTCCTCAAGCTGCACCTTCCTCTCCTCCAAATGCAACTTCCTTGCCTCCAAAGCAAGCCTCTGCTTCCTCAGGTTGAGTTCTTTCACCCTCAAGCCATATTCGTCCCTGTGCCTCACTTGGAGGAAATGAAGTCTGGCCCTTAATATAGAACTTGTCCTTGGTCCCCTCTTTTTGACTGTACAATCACTGTTTCGCTCTGGCCTCATTGACACTGCTGCAGTTGCCTGTTTACCTAACTCTGTTGAGTCATCTAATAGTAGTGTGTGTGAAGCAATAGGATTATCACTAGCTGCAACTGCATCATTTATTGTTGCCACGCCACTTAGAGACGGTATTGGGGATGTGCACTGGTCTACCTTCACAGGCACGGGGGAGGTGGGGGGTGCAGGTGAACTCTTGGATACGAGAGGAAGGGGCTGATCTGGCAAGACGGAGTCCGCTACAGGATCAAGTGGGCTATTGCGGGAGGGTGGTGCAGTGACCAATTTCGACAGCACTGGCCTCCCCCACCCTGGGAAGGGGAAAGCAGAAGGAACAGCCAGTTTCTGCAAGCCCATCCGTGCACTCAAAGCTAACTGTTGGATGTTGGGCGGGAGCCCGCTTGCCAATAATGGAGGGTAAGTCACAGATGATGCAGGTGTGCTGTAGTGCAGTTTAACAGGGCTGTTCTGTTGTGGAATCAGTAGAGAAATTGAAGGTGTCTTTGACACTGCAGACATTTGTTCATTAGAAGCAATAGGTTGACTGGGACTACTTTTAGCGATTGGAAAATCTGAGATTGGATCTGGATTAGAGTTGTCTGCTTCTACATCACCTCTGTCATCAGGATGCTCTAGATGGTTGTCTGCCAAAAGTTCCTTCCCTGGTCTCTTGCTGCTGGTTGAATTCCCAGTTGACGATTTGGCAGGATGAGAGTCTTTCTTCCATATCTCTAGCACTTTTTGAAGCAACTGCTTCTTCTTTTCCCGCATGTCACATGGAGCCCTGGCAGAAGATTTAAAGTCAAATATTATTTAGTATGTGACACAAACAGAACAAAACTCTAAACAACAAACATACAATTGTTAAGTGTTTATACAAAAAGAAATAATCATTATGGCCCATTCTAGAATAGTAATCAGGATACAGTCTGATTCATATCCTGCAATTCCTGATGCTGATTGTTAATCAACAATGGTTTTCTGTTGGTTTTGTTTGGATAAAAAGAAAGAGAAAGCTGTTTTGACAAAATGAAAGGGATAAAAAAAGAAAATAAAAAACTCTTAAAACTTAGTCAATCCTTACACAATTGGTAAGCCTATTTTTCAAGTTAAGCAGACTATCCTCCATTTCTTGTGTATTCAATGACGCTGTTTCTCTGATATGGTTAATTATTTATGTAGTTCAGTTACATATAACTTCCATGACTTTATGATTACAGGATTAATTGACTTGACTACAGGAACTTTTATAGTGCCTAAAATGCCTATGCAACTCTTAATTACCCCAGTTTTACATGTATACTTACATATATACAAAATAGTATACATAGTATTCAGAAAGTTATATAAAGCTGCAGAAAATTGATTTTGATATTTCAATTTCAAATTTTGGGGTACCCTGATACATAAAGGAGGTTTTTATCCAGCATCAGTCCGTATACAACACTAGTGCCTACACTATTTCTGAGAATTTTTCCAAAATGCATATTGTGTAGTCAATTTGAAAATATTCAAGAGTTTTCAATTCTAAATCGCATATAGATTATACTAAATCACTTACAGTTCATGGTGTAACAATGCTTAAACTAGAGCACTGGCCCCTATGCTGAATATCACAGAAGACATTATATCAAGCACAATTAAAATTTGAATAGTTTGAAAGTTTTTCAAGAATCTTTCATGAAATCTGATCGACAGCATAATTAGTATGTATTCTTTTCTTTACTAGAATCTGCTTGATTCTTCAAAAAGTTTCTTCAGTGGTGTTTGGAAATAGACTAAATTACTAAACAATGGAATATTGTTAGTTTTTGTATGTAAATATTACAACTTTATTGTGCTCCTTGTGTACCCGGCTCTTAATGAATTTAATTAGCAATTTGCTCCAAAACCATTGTTTTCCAGAAAATGTATAAGGAGGTTTTCTAGATCGTTTTTGTCAAACAAACAATAATAAACCACTGCACGAACATCACATTGATCTGGAAAAAATAAAATAGCAATACCTTGTAATAATCTTATTACAACATGTGATAGGAAAATTATCCAAAGATGCTGTGAGGTCAGGTATTGTAATAAGATGTTCTTATATGTTGTACACTTTTTACACATAGGGCCACCAGGAAAGTCTCACCACACTGAGGTGAGTTAGGGCATCATATAAAAAATTGCATTTATGTTGGTAGCATAAACAGATCACTGGGAAACATGTGAAGGGTTCAACACTTTCAGAATTAGTTACGATTGTGTTACGATCACTTACAGATTTAGTTAGGCCATTTGCATTTTACAAGCTGCAGCTACGAATATAATTTCTGTTACTAGCACTCTCACCAGCAAGGTGCCACGGTGGAGAGACTTTCCTAGTGCGCTTTATAACTAACAAATTAAACTATATTGTCTTGTTCCAAAAATAAGAATTTTACCTATTGTTTCCTCAATTAAACAAACTTTTGTATTAGGCATCAATTGGGTGATTGCCTGTGAATAAATATCATAAATTTTAAACCTTTTGTAAAAATTTCAATAAATTATAATTTTTTTTTAATTTGACTAGTTCTGCAAAATGACAGACAGACTGACTAATGTTGATAAGAGTTAATAAAAGCCCATGGATTATTAGAATACTTTTGTGAACACTTTTCCTTTTCATTGTGAAACTGATCATTGTTGTTAAGAGAGATTATAAGAGCATTTGTTTTCTAACAACTCTTACAATGGAACTGATCTCAGTGTTGTAAACTTTGAAAATAGTTAAAAGTAATTAATGCCAGTATTGAATTCAATAAGGAATATAATGAACAAACTCAACTACATTGGAGATTTACTAAAACAATAGTGAGAAATAAATTAGTTTAGCTGAAGGACTGCTTACCTCTTGAGGCAGGCTTCCATTCCGCGAAGAGAGTAAGTGTTCATGAGCAAGTCAGTATGTTCACGAATAGAACGTACTGAGAAATTCTTGCCAGTTCTCATGGCAACCATCTGGGTGACATCCTTCCAGAGAGCGGAACATTTGTATGGATTCAGGGCTGCCACCCGACGCAGGAGCACCATGTCATCAGCCTCCGAGAAACGAAGCCGCCTTCGCTGGCCAATGTCACCTTTGGAGCTGCTTAACTGCAACAAATCCACAGTGCCATCACTTCAGAACACAGATTCCCAAATCTTTTCTTTCACTGATCTCTTTTATAAGAACAGTTCGCTTCTTTGATCCCTTTATATTTAAACTTTTTCACCCTGTACGTTAGTGGAGAGAGAATTCACACAATTGTGCACTCAAAAATCATGATGTACAGTATAAATGGATGGATGTGTCAGGCATAACTCTGCCAAATTAGAAATTTTTGAGTTGAGCTGAAATGTAGTAAAAATGTCAAGAGTAAGATCTAGTTGTGCTGTTAGACTAAAAGATTAAGATATTTTCATTTTTAAGGGTACTTTACCAAAAATTTTCTGGAAAGTGACAGCAGTATTTTTCTTTACATTTTTTACTCAAATAGACGTGCATTTACAATAATGGCATTGCTTTGATTTTCATTAAAGCCTGCGAAATTTCGAAAATTTATGAAGTTTAAATTTATTTTTGAACATGACCTACACCTCTAATATTAAAGCCACAGATTTTTTATTCAATGCAATTTATCCCTCAATTTCTTTAAATGCTGCCATGTAAGAGTAGTAGGTGAATAAATAACTAGTCACACTAAAAGAGGAAAAAATTCAGTATGATGCACCTGTGACAACAAGCATCTTCACACACACAAAATTCTAATGGAAACAATGATTTTAAAGTAAACAAATAAATATTCACATTAGTTTGGCATTTTAAATATTTATTAAAACAATAAAAATATAAATTTGTATTTCTGGCAGATTTTATTAAAAAATCATTTTATGAATAAGATCAGCTGCATTTCCAGTAGGTGGCCAAATTATTAGGAACAGTACTCAGATTAGTGTGTTTTGTACTTTAACTGCATTTTTTAAACAAATCATTGGTTTTTGGCCTTGTGGCTCTTTTTTATTCTTAAGAGTGTTATTAAAATTATAAAAATGATAAACTAGAACTATTTTGAGATAAAATTAATACCAGCATCAATCTGGATAGCCAAGATCGCTAAGGCAGAAGTGTCGTGGTGATCTCAGGTCGAGGGATCGCAGGTTTCGAATCCCGCCTCAAGCATGGATGTATTTGTGATCATCCCTTCACCCTTCATCATCCTATTACTTCATTAAAGAAGATTGATATACCCAGCCTGAGCAGGAGTCCCTTGGCCTTAATGGGATGTGCAGTTGGCTAATAATAATAATAATAATAATAATAATAATAATAATAATAATAATAATAAACAAAAACAGTATTTAGTGACACCACCCTTCGATACAATTATAGCTTCAGTGCGTCACGGCACACTCTCTATACAGATTTTTGCATATTGTGCAGTTCAATATTCTGATGCCATTCTTTGTTTAGAATTTTAATTAACTGATACTTGGTGGTGATCACTTTCTTGGCAATTGGCTATTTGGTGAGTTCTCCCATTTCTCTATAGGGTTCATGTTTAGAGAGTTCTCCAACCAGGATAAAAGTATTATTTTTCTGCCAGGAATGCAGTAATTCTCATGGCTTTGTGGCATGATTCTGAAACCTGTATAAAAATGTATTTTCAATCCCCAGGGCTCAACCACCAAGCTTAATCACCATTCTTCAATCAGTGACAGTAGCAGTCTAGTGCTCACTTGTACTGGTCTTGCCTCATGGTCCCTTCTACAATGTATAGGCTTCACTGAGATCATAGACCACACCATGGTAGGAACCAGATGTTTAACCCTCTCCTAGGTAGTCTGGATGGTAGTCCCCCCGGATGTCATCCAACAAATGAACCTAAGTTGATCAAAATTTGAAACGTTGATTCTTCAGAGAAGCATACCTCGAAAGTATTAGAAAAAATAATTGTTGAAGAAATTCACCAGTGCTTTAAATATATAAAAAGGTTGTATTACTCGACTCCAGTCTGCAACAGTCATATTTCAGTGTTGTCTGGCCAATTACAATCGCTTCTTCTTCATGGCCAGGTGAGGCGTGGTTTTTTGATAGGGCAACAATCGATTAGATTATCTTCGTCTGACTATCTCTGGACTGTCCTTTTGGAAACTGTTACTCCCTCAGTGACAGACAGGCAACACTCTTTTTACGATTTTTGAAGCAGAAATACCTGATTCTATGATTGTAATGAAGATTGGTGGTCCTTTTCCTGCCACATTTACCCACACAGTCTGCACTCTGCATCTTGTTCTTTGTTGGGTTTTTTTCGAATCATAATTTTTATTCCGTTAACAGTTCTCAAAACACCTGCCAAATTTGCTATATCTCTCTATTAATGACTGGAGTGAAGTAATATTATTTGAAATTCTCTAATTTTCCTTGGAGATATGTCTGAAACCTTATCCTATAAAAAATTTAAAATTTTGAGGTTGTGACATTACATAGTAAATTAAAATGAAATTAACTCATTAAAATTTAGTAAAAGTAACGCAGAACAATACTTACATTTCGATTATTTTAGAAAGGGAAAAACTTGCAAAAAACCATTAAAAAATTATTTGTATGTCTTCATTACAGCAGCAGTTTTCAATAAACTTCAACTAAACGAAAGTAAAAACACTTATTTCTTAAATAAAGATGCCATCCAGTGTAGCCAGTTATTATGAACAATAATAATGATAACTCTAATATTACAAATTTCTATCGAAACCAAATCCTTTGATCAAAAAACGATTTAAACTAGAAATTACACAAATTTGAGTGGTCCCTAATAATTTGACTGGTAATTCTGTTAGGTGAAATATGTATCGGCATACTTTTAAATATCTATAAGTCCCAGGAAATCAGGAATCAGACTTCTTTAATCTTCTGCAATCTGAAGTCAAATAGACTTGAAAAATTTAAGTCTTCAGCTGTTATGTCGAGTCTCATTCAACTCACATTTTTCGTTCTTTACAGAGTAACAAACTTGTGAGAAATTAGACAGTGTTGGCATGATTGTGTGATTAACAATTGGCACATATGTATCATGTTCATTGTGGAAGTCAGATTGTTAGACAGTGTTACGGCTGAAGATACATTGATTCGTGAATGAGATTAAAGACCTTCCTTATTTAATTATGATATCCTAGTTCGTTTCCGGGCTGCTCCAGAATTTTAGTACAAACGGCACTATCCCACAGACTGTTCAGTGCACACAATGCATAAGTCTATCATGTAAATTTTTTAACTGACTTTTTGGGGTTGAGGAACTCTGTGTTATTTTCTGTACTGGTGACATTTTTGTTAGAACATTGCCTGAACATGGCAAAACTTGTTCCAAATGAGAATGCTTGCACTGAATCTGTGAGTCTCAGGGACATCTTTTTGTTCCTAGAACAAATAATTAGAATTCTAAACTTTGAAATAAACACATTTTAAAAAAAATGTATTTCCCTTTACAAATTATTGTCCAATAACTAAGCTCTGATGAAGGTCACAGAATGATTACTAAAATGGTGTCATCTATCCCCTGGATGTGGTGTCTCCTGGATAGCCAAGTAAGTACTTTTATGCAGTATAAAGTGTGTACTTGTACTACTGTATTATCACCAAACGTTTTTCATTCAATTAGAAATTATGAAACAAAAGTCAAGAGTTTTTCAGTATAATGTAATTTACATCTTCAACTTCTAGCACAATGGAAAATTGTATTTTTAATTTGGTAATTTCTAGCATGTAATTCAACTATAATGACTTCCTTCCTCTTCACTACTGCTTTTTTACTACCCAGAATCGGTTTCGTCTTCCCTCTCCTGTAATTTATTTTCACATGCACATTTATTCAAACCTTTCTCTTTGTAATCAATTCATCAGAATTGGGCATTCCATTCACATTTTCCCATTTTTGTGACAAAAATTCAATATATTAAAAGTAAATTATAATATTATAGAAACATATTTGAGTTAATTACAACATGAATGTTATTAAGATGGTAAGGCAGATGAAACAAATTTAAAAGTAAATACTCACTTGGAACTGTGTCCACATTTTGTTATATACATATCTCAAAACATTTGTTCCTCAAAACCCATATGGAAAATGAGATTGTTTAAATGCAATAATATAAGTAGAGAATAGGAAGGTACTAGGAACAACAGAGCTCCATCATTCCTCATCAGATCTCATTATTAGAAGGCTTTCTAACAGAGGAACAATGAGTTAATTGATCTGGATCTCAGAGACGTGGTGCAAGCCCTGCCACGTTAAAAAAGATAACTAGACATTAAGGCAAAAATCTGCAGCAAATTGCAAAACCAACTACCTATGTCAGATTAATTTTTACTGTAATATATACATACATAACTTAAAAGAAAAAAAATTATCTTAATTTTTTAAAAAGGCGATCAGGGAAATATTCTCAAAGACAACTCAGTAGCTGCAAGTCTGAAGTTTCCCTAGAACCCCACTTAGAAGGATGATACTTACCGAGCGGTCGCTCCTCATCAGTTCGTCTCCAGAGAACATTGCAAGGGCATCTCTGGAGTCATCAGCCGTCCCCTGCTCAAAGGAGGCCTCATCCAGAGACAGAGTATCTTCAACCTGCAAACAAGAAGTCAAATGAGGACAAGAGAGAAGAATCGTATTTAAATGGGAGAGCTTAGGGAAATGTGTGAGACAAGAAAAGAAGTGATCTTTAAACCAATTTTTATGAAATCTGTTATTATTATGGTTAAAGTTTCACATCAGCAGATTTTGTGGAATTATCTACAAAGGTGGAATAAATTCAGAAAATGTCATTAATGAATCTCCCTTTGTTTCTTTCTTTTGTACAACTCTGACTTCAACTCATAAAGATTCAAGAAAATAATTTAATTATCAGCTTAAATTAACGGATTCCTAAAAGAAAAATTTCTAAATCCTAAGATATGTATGCATTTTTTAAAAAATTCTGCTACTTATTAATAGTAATTGCAAACACATATTTTAATTCAATGCAATTTGTTCCTGATGTGCAAGAAGTTTTTCTCTCTCCTATTCACCTTCACCCCTCCAAAAAAACAAGAACAATCTCATTTAAAAATAAAAAAAATAAATGAATTCAGAGGAAGGGATGAAAAAGATCATGTGGAAATGATTCTAATGGGAAGCATTCAGATGGAATCATCATATACATTTTATTTTTTTGAAGCTTCATCAAATTTGATTAGACCTCTTCAAAGAAACATACAAAAAAAAATTAATTTAGAGATTTATTTAATTAAATTATTATTTACATTATTATAATTAATTGTGACATGATTATGTTTTTATTATTATCATTGACAGATTATTTACTTAAATAATTATTTAATTGTTTTCAACTAGGCACAAGGGCAAAAGTGGAACAATTCTGACTTTATACTAATTTCTCTGAACACTTTGATGATACACAAGAAGAAAAAAAAGATCTTCAACAATTAAAGATATAATCTTCTGCAAATTCGGCCTCAGTATTTGTAATAACATTTTAGTGTATAGTAATAACAATCAAATGTTACTAACAATCCATTTCAAAAACCAAAAATCAGACAATAAAATAATTAAAGGAAAATAAGCTGGGTTTCAGGGGAAATTTTTATAAGTTAATGGAAAACAATTGGATTCCAAAGATTGGATTTTAATGAGAGAAAACCTAATTGGACTCATTTCAATTAAGGTTTGCGGATTGGTTGAAAGAAGATGCATCAATACATACCGAATACAAATTGTAATATTGAGTAAAAATCAAATTAATATTGGGAATCCTGTCCTATGGCTCGACAGCCTGCTATGGGCCTTGGCCAACCAGCGGTGACCCAGCCTTGGCCTTGGGATAAGGGGTTCATGTGATTACCACAAGACACAATATTGGGATTTTCAATAGTAAATTATATTTAAAATAGCATTAGTTATTTTTCATATATTTTTGACCCATTCCTGTTCTCCGAGATTTTTTATCATGGCTCATAGTTGGTGAATAAACAACTATTTCATCAATTTCCAGCCAAAATGACATGAAAACTAATACTAGGTTTTTAAAAGCTTGTACACAACCTTTTTTAATGAGCTGATTTTTTATAACATATTTTGTTTAAAGAAAAATCTCTATCGTTCATGTTTATAGTTTTCAAATGTTAGTTCCTGTAATTTTAGAAAATAGAGCTAAACAAAAATGCCACCTACGCCATTGTTTTAAGCATTTCTTGTTCTAACTGTGGAAAAAATTCACAGCGGTTTTTGAAAAAATCACCTGTCACTGCTGGTCAGCCACCTGGTTGGAAAATCGCCTGTCAATGCCTGTAACTGGCTGTGAAGCCACAGAACAGAGCACTGCAATTAGATCTTTTTGTCCAAAACTCCCTGATTTTTTCCGCAGCGTTTCAATACTTTTTCTACACTGAGTTAGCAGTCACAAGAAAATAAAAGTGTAAGATTTTTTTAAAATGAGAAAAGGACATATTACCAGAATATGTTGATTTTTATAATGCAATTGTAAAGTGATCAACTAAAACAGGAAATGAAGGTAACGTGTTATCAGAATTTAATAAGTAATTGCTAGAGAAAAAATTATCAAATTATACTTTAAAATATCGTCTCCTATATTATTTCAGTAGTATATGTACCTTTTGCAGCTCTCACACACAGTCGATCTTTATGAATGAGGTCACTAAAGAAAGAATTTTAAGGAGACGTGGTGAATTTCACTTATTATTTCACAATTTCTTAGTTGTAGAACAGTAACTGTAGAACAGTTTAAGAATATTATAGAAGAGTAAAACTTCGTCTTATATTCACATTTTCGTTGAAAAATGTGGAGACATTTTAAAGAATATGTCATTAAGCATTAACGTATATGCAAAATTTGAAGCTTTTTCACAGAAAACTTTTGTTATACAAAAATTCCATTCAAGGCCATTTGAAGAATACCACTCACAAATGCAATAATATTCCTTTTTTTGCATTTGTGCCAAGACGTTTTTGAGAAAAATTCCCAGGGGTCTCATGTGAAGTACTCCCAAAAATTAATATTTTTCAAAATCGCAGAGCTTAGAGTGAAGCTAGATTGATAGGGGTTTATTCTTTTTGAAAAAAATATCGTACAAATATTTAAAGAGCTAGTGAATAGTTTTGGCACTAGTTAAACCGTTGGAAATAGCAAAAGAAATTTAAAAAAAAAAATTACAAAAGGAATTTTTTCGTTGACATCCTATAACTACGAAATTGAAGATCGAGATGTTTCCTTCAAGTACTTTTTTTCTCCATAATTAGTAGTTTCAAAATCATGCACATTTTTTTGAAACTTTTGGTAGTTTTCATGCAACATCGTTTGCAATATATGTAACATTAAACTATAGTGATGCTACAAATGCACATACTTTCTCGCATAATTTCTAACTGTTCCGCTATATTATACTACTACATAAACTTACGAAAGTGTTTTCAACCAACAACAATTTACTTCCGCTCTGAGATCCGAACTCAAAACCGCAGAGTTAATTTGCCGACACCCACGCCACTATGCCACGTAACCGCAAACGCAAAATGGAAAACTAAGTTGGTCCCATGGGTAGTGTTTGTATAATGTATTTACATTTATTGTTGATTAGATTATTTAAATCGGTTCGTACAGATGCACAGAAAGACAATTGATTTGACGCGACATTCGTTTTAGAAATCGGATAAGTGTTGAAACTAGAGGTGCTACAGAATGGCACTGACTTTCCCGTATTAGTTTTCTAATTCCTTTGGTCCAAGCTAGCTATTCGACCTTGCCACATACTCTTGCCTACTGCTAGTTATAGTCGCCCTAAGAACATTATTTGAAATTTTCTTAATTTTTCGTCTTCCTAATAGTAGAACAGAAATATTATTTTAAGAATATTAAAGAACAATAAAACCTCGTTGGGAATTTTCGATTGAAAAATATGGAGCCGTTTTTAAGAAAATGGCATTTAAGTGCTACTGTAAAATCGAAATTTCAACATTTCACAGAAAACTATTGAGTTTTCTAAAAACTTCATAGGATGTCATTTCACGCACTTAGAGTCACAAATGCAATAGTGTTTACAAAATATGCATATTAAAGGCGTGAGCGATTTTACACTACATTTGTGTAATTTTTGAAAAAAGCAAACAGCAAAATTAATTCTTCTATGTCATGTTAAACAGTGGAATTAGCACTATCTATGGGAAAAGTTTGAAGAAAAATTTTCCGTATCGAGCCGTTTTCGAGAAAATGGCGATGAGCGTTTCTGAAAATGCGGAATTTTGAGCTCATTTTCACGGAAAACTCCTGAGTTTTCGGGAAACTTTATCTGACATTATTTAAAGCACATGTACTTATAAATGCATAAACTTCGACATTTTCAATTTTTAAAAAATCGCTTCAAATTGTTGTATTGAACACTACTCTCAAATAGCATAAATAACACAAAAAAATTGTGGTCTCATTGTCGTTAAAATCCCTGATTTTTCGAAAATTGCGTAAGTTAAATTTTTTTCTTGAATGAAATCTGATCTTTGAAGCCAAATTGAAATACGGTCATGTACAATTTCTCGAAAATAAAAGTAGTTTCGTGTAATTTTGTGAGAAATATACACAATTTGAATTAAAAAAAAGATTTTCTCAAAAACTTTCAATTTTTTTCTTTAAATTTTCTCTTTGTATTCATTAAAGTAGAGTCAAACGTTTGTGCTAGTTTCATTTCCGGCGAAATCTCTGTATTTTCTAAAATTGTAAAAAGGTAACAAAACAAAACTATAAAATTAAAGATAGAGATGTTTGCCTTCAATCTGCTCTAAAAAATAGACCTTTACAAAAGGTCAAGGGCAATTTTTTGAAAAGCGTCGTTTTCGTGTAATTTTTTGTTGAAATTAATGCAATTATTTATAAACTAGTGGCACTAAAACAGAGGGAAGATAGAAAAAGAATGAAGAGGAAGGTGAGATCACGCGCGGTCACGGGCCCGTTTGTTAGGGTACTACTCCAGCATTCGCGGTGTTGATCGGAGAAACCACGGAAAACTACAGATCAGAGTAGTCGGATGCAAAAATTCTCCTCCAGACAGTGACTGAATCCACCCGAGCTAACAAGCTAGTATCGAAAATCCTGCCAACGTCGGGACTCGTGTCTAGGACCTCCCGGCCAAAGAGACCGCAGTGACATCATGTTGATGCACTAAGCAGTCTCTCCCGGTGGATTCATTTTTATTTCCGCGAATAAAAAGTAGCCGTCATTGTCACCTTTTGTTACCTGTGCGGCATTACAACAATGAAACAACCAACAGTGACCGCTCATCTATTCGTTTTCACATTTAACATAAAGGCAATTTAAAATGAAGTAGCATAAATATATTATAAATAATAATATTAAAATGAAATAATATATCAATTTTAACTTACATAACTTCCAACTGCTTCAAAACATTTCCGAAATTGCGATAAAGCACGCGATTTTAAGGGCACACAACTAACTTTGATGCCCAATCATTCCAAAAATACTCATATATTCGAAAAATTCAACATGACCTTATTTCAAAATTTAGTTTTGATAAACACATTTCATTAAGAAAAAAAAAATGTATCTACATAATTGTAGGAAGACACCGAAAACATTTTCAATTTTTCGATTTTCGAAATATCAATTTTCAACCAACATGAGACCTACACATTTTTTTAACTCCCTTCGGATCATTCACCAAAAAAATTTCATCAAAACGATGGAGCTCTTTTTGACAAAAAAATGTTTAAACAAAAATTAAAAATTGTCTACATTTTACGCAAAATCACGTGAAAAATATTCAAATTTTCGAAAAATTGTACCTGATCTTATTAAAAATCTATCTGTAAGGAACATATTTTATTAAGGGAAAAAAAGTTCTACCTTTAATATTTTACTTGTAGGAAGATGCCGCAAAATTTTTTGATCTTTTGCAATTTTCAACAATTTAGTTAGTGCTTAAACTACTTAAGAGCCACAGCCCTTATTTTTTCTGTCCTTTTATACACAACAGATAAGTTACTTTATATAAAATATCAATGATAAGTAGCACACCACTAAAAAAAATACACCCTTCTGGAAATCGGTATTTTGATTTTTTTTTTAAGTTTCAAAGATAAAATTTTGAAATTTGCACACTAAATGATCTCTATGTTACCCAACTGCAGCATAAAATTCCACTTTAATAAGTATTGCCCATCTTTCACTGAAAATTGCGCATGTCATGAACTTTTGCATTTTTTGAATTTTCTGGAATTACAGTAAAAATGAAATCTCTATCATCCTTAAAAGAATATTTCATTCCCTTATTACAAAAAATTGAAGGCTCAGTGGAACAAGGAGCTAATCCACATCTTTTGTGAAATTGAGTCATTAGTATTACAAGACTTCAAATTTCGTGTGTGTGTGTGTGTGTGTGTAAAGAGTGCTTTAAATCCAGTGTGGACTTGTTAAGAAATATTATGTATTTAAAAGTTTTAAAATGTACTGAGTTAAGTTCTAGTACAACCCTTAATTACTCAGAACTATTTTAAAGTGTGTGTTAAAGAAATAATTTGGAACAATTTTTAAGAAAATTTTGAAAATGTTTAATGTGAAGTATTCCACCAATTTAAAGATAGTTCTTCAAAATCATAGGGTTTCAAGTCTGGCCAGATCAATCAGAGAATATTTATTTTGGCAATAGTCTTACGAATAGTTTAGGCCCTAGTGTTGTCCTAGCCTTTTTCTTTTCCTGGCAAATGTTTCAGCTATTTACTACATTACTTTACTACATACACTCCAAAACTTCATCTGCTTCAAGAATTACGTGATATGTACATTAATTGACATTTTATATATTTATTTATAGAAATGTGTTGCTTCCACAAACAGGAACAGTGGTGACTTCCAAAGAAATGAGCGAAAAGTTGGCACTGCACACCAATCAACTGTTGACCTACCCTCACAATTCTTATAATTATAAAACAAGGTCAAGATCAGCATAATACTTTAGAGGTGAGCTCATTTGTACCTAGTATACATATAATTTCAATATATGTAAGTTTCATTTAAAGTTTTAAACTTTGAAAATTTAACACTGCTTTTTTTGATATTTTAACAGTTTTTGTTTACCTTACATTTAAATGAAACTTTTTCTCACGAAGAGGAAAAGAAATCCTGAAAATATAATATAGAGATAAGAAATATCTAAATTTCATAAATTATTTTAATAAATATGTACGTTAAGTGAAAATATGTTTCTCTGATTAATGAGTGTATGATTAATATGATTTTAAAAATAACTGTCTAAAAAGCCTCTGGAGAAAAAAAAACCTATGAAAGTTGATTCACCTTTTTTTAACTTGACACTCACTTCCTCTTGTGCTGGTCCAACGTGCCAGCCACGTCTGTGTTTTTAATGAAGGCAAAATTTCACAATTGCCAACTTACCGCAACAAGAGCAGGGGCTCACTGACATGAGATGCAAGTGAAAATAATGACCCAGCAAAAAGCATCCCTTAAGAAAATCCTGGTTGTAACACTATGTGCAATCAATACCCAGGTCTATGTATTGTATTCTATATTTATCTAATATATTTAATTTCTTTTGTAATTATTCCCTTTATTTTATCTTAATACATATATATTTACAAAATTTCATATTTTTCTTTGTAGACTACTTGTTAAAAAATTTGTTGTTTTTTCTGTTGCTTGATCATTATTTTTCTCGGACTTTATTCATTTTCTCTCTTTGCTCACTATTTATAGAATAAAAGTAATAATAATGAAGAGATTTTCCGGTTTGCTTGCAGGATTTCAAGTTTTGTGAAATAAGGTCATTATTTTGTAGCACTTTATTCGGAGGCATAAGTATGTGTTCTTCACACGTAATTGGCACGCAAAGAATTTGCGCCCCTGTCTGGTAATTACAATTTAGGGTTGTTACTCTTTTCAACAGGTATATACTCTAAACAGTACTCCTTGTGAGTGGCGCCCATGGCACGTTCCATATCTGCCATACCTTCAATAGTCCTCTGACTATATTTTAAAAATACATGTATATTACAGCTAAATAAATAATTAATGAGAATTAAAGAAGAATGTAAATTATTTCCCAATTCACATATTCCAAAAACATTAAACAGATGAGGACATTATGACTAGGGGCGGATTTTTATGAAATGTCACTTTTTTCTTTCCCTTTTAGTATAGAAATTAATTTTATATTGTAACAAATAGAAATGACTCATTTTTCTGGGTCATTTTTTTTCATTTTGCACTGATTTCAACAAATAAGTCATTTTTTATATTTTTCAGTCATTTTGAAGCATTTTTTGCTGATTTCATCAATATTATAATCTTTTTAATGGTACAATTACTTGCTTCAAATAATATTTACTAGATGCAAAAAATATTTTACACAGAATACTGCAGAAACCTATTCTATTTCTTCGCTCAGAAATTGTAATATCAGCCATTCAAATATGTAATCTAAGGTTCCTGTGACGACAATCAGCGCCATTGTGGGTTTGGCCGACTTCGGGATAACTAAAGACAGAGCTTTCCTGGTAAGAAACATTCCATACCAAAAGTTTGCAAGCCGAGTTGATTTGAATGAATAGAAGAAGCCTCAATTACACCAGTTAACATATCCAACAGCTTCAGTGGTTCATCCAAACTGGTTTTGATCGCATTTTTTACGTCATTTTAAAAACATTTTAAGAGCATTTTATTGATCATTTTTGGCAATGAATTTAGCCATCAAAACCCACCTCCTTATTATGACATACTTCTCTCACCATGGTAAGAGAAATGTTTCATAATATACACATCCCTAAATGTACATCATACAATATTAACATTTTATTAATGTTATAATATAAACTTAATGCAGTTAAACAGTGGAACAACCAAATGCAACCAAACAGAGGAACAAAACTTAATAGCCAAAGATCATCTGAAACAAATGAGATGTAACAAAGGACAGCATATGAATGCACTTATTCCAAGAAATGATATTACACAAAGTATTAATCAACACAGGCCTAAAACACAAACGACAGACTTTGTTGGTTAAAAATCCCTGCCATCACCTCAATTACAAATTTCATCTGCATCTCTTACTTGCTGTTTATTGGCCTAAGGATATCAATCTATACATATACAACAGTAAGTGTTTTTGCTAACAAAGAAATTTCAGCTTTCTACTGAAACAAATCCCATGATTTTTTCTCTAAATGATAAATGAGTCCCAGATGTGTTCTCATTTGCAATTATTAACCACTTTTACAATACAAACACAAAGTTTTAACATTACTGGTTAACACATTATCTTAAAATCAATATTATGAATGCTTTTCCACTGTAATTTGTTGATGTCATCTTGCTGGGCGAGTTGCATTCAATACATTGACAACAGTTTGCTTTGTCTAGCAAGAACAGATTTGCAAGAGTGAGGATTTTGTTAGTGAAGAGATTAGTGAGCGTAAATAAACATAATGCCCGTGACACATGTCCCTTTCATAGAAATCCACAGATTATAATAATTATATGTGATGCATGACGTTTGTAAGTTAAGGTGGAAAGCAAAATTTATTGATAGTCCAGAACTTGGTAAATATTAAATATTTCATTTATACTTTCAGAAACATATTCAACTGTGTATTCCCAGTGAATTGTGATTGTCCTGTTCCAAAATTTTATTTTACTCATTCATTAGTCTTGAGAATAAGTACTGAACCACATGAAACAATATTTTTGGGGATTTCAATTTTCCATATAGGGCATAAAGAGTACTTTTCTACAATTCTTCCTTTTGAGTAATGTAATCACAAGGGTTTTGCTTGTAACTATAAAACGTATAATTAGAATTACTTTCATTAATAATGAAATTTAATAGGATTACATAACAATCTTCTCTAATAAGAACTACTATTAAACATGAATTTGGTACTAAAAACAGAATAATCATTCACAAATTAAAATGTAGTTTATGGATAATTCCAAATGGTTAAACACTTCCATTATTTTCTAAAACATACATTGCAAAATGTTATTTGAATGAAAGTGTCATGCAATCACAGTTTTAAAAAAATCACAGAATTTGAAGAGGCTACATTACTGACCTATATTGACTATCATATAATTTTAACTTTTATTACTAAAACACAATAAGTAATTACATCCACAGTTCACAGAGAATACTTCATTCAATGAGGAACCCAAACAAAAATATTAGATAGTAGCACATGATATACATTTGGCAGTGACAGTCATTCAATGTCAGTATCACTTGATTATTAGTGAACACAAAAATGACATGACACCCTCTAGAATTTAATTACTACAAAGTAATGATATACATGCTAAGTACTGCTACACAAATGTTCAAACTTATTTCTCTAATTTAAAGAAAGGAATACTAACTTGTACGAATTCCAAGTCTGCATCATCAACAGGTTCCTGTTTAAACTGAAAGAAAAAACAACAACAAAAAACAGTTGACAACTTTGAAGATAGTGGTAACTTTTTAAAACTAAATCAAATAATGTACATAAAGGTGAGTTGATTAAAAATTTTTCATTTTCCCCGCACTTATTTGCCAATAACTTCTTTACCTATTCTCCCTTCCCAACTTATAAAATCACGTCTCAATTTACTTGCAGTAAGTGAAGTTTTCTCAAATATACCTCCTTTAGATCTTCCTCAACCTTCACGACACTCAATAAAGTACACTCTGGATTCTCCATTTTACGCATTTAATGCACACATTCGAACCAAAAGTATTTATGCTATTGCAACTTCTTCCCATTTAGCAATGAGTTGAATGCACTTTCGGATGAGCCCTAAGACATCGTGGCACCATATCTTTTTAACGGAAGTGCGTTAATCCGGACGATCATACGGTTCAGGAAACGTTACCTTTTACCGTAACCTGACCGTAACTTAATCGATCGATTACAGTGTTAGGAATCGAACGAGATCGACACCATTCGAGGCTAACGGGGTATTTTCAAAACTAACGACAGAGATTCGTGTATTATAATATCAATAAACTGTCTATATTATTGCTTTATATCAAACAGCATATTACAAACCTATACTTACAGCTGTATGTCAAAAATATTTCATCGGGAAAATACGCCTCGAGAACAAAAAGGACTAAAATAGAATAGAATGAGTGTTTGTAGAATCAGAAGCGTAATGAGCCCGCACTCGCACGCATAACTTTTATTGGGGCTTCCTTTATAATAAATTATCGCAAACACACGTAGTGTTGGTATCTTAAATTATAAAAATAGGCCCTCTTTTACATGTGCCAGGCGGCATTGCGGAACTTTAGGGCCCGAACGTTATGCCACTGAGTAGAATACGCGTACATTTGTAGATATATTTCCTTCTGTGGCATACATGAATTTCTTGCCAAGGCGGGAAGCTTTTATTGCCAAGGCGGGCCCCTTAACTTCAATGATCCCTGAGTCAGAACGTAATTCAGGTTGGTGATTAATATGCCATACAATGGAAGATAACTCATTAAACTTTCAATATTCTAAATATGAAAACATTTCTTTTGAAATATGTGTGTGTGGTTAACATGTAAACATAACGTGTTCAAAATGTCCACATTGAAGGCGTATCCCCGCTTAGAAAAAAGTTATTGATCAATGTACGACACAAGTCCACACATTTTAAATGGCGGTAAACGATAGGAAATCGCTCAGAGAAATAAATAACTTCCGATAATTGCACGTCTTCTTAAACAAGAACTTGAACTTCGATTTATCTACAGATTTTAAGTGGATCAACAGACATTATTTTAACCTTGATCAACTAGTCAGAGAGTATAGATGCAACTAGTAACTAGCCTTCTCTCTTCGATCACCCCTGTACCACACTCAACCAAGGTCCGGTCGTAAGCACTCTAAGACTTAGCAATCTCAGAAAGCAAACATCATTCATCAAATGAAGAATAGTTGGCGTTTTCTGTATTAGTTTCGTTATGCTTTTCAACAATTAATTTACGCAATTCACTTCAGAGGAGTGTATGGATATTAATCTGATATTAATATCAAACAAGGCCCGAGTAATATTAATTTGTTTCGCATTTGATTTCTTCACTTACTATGCCAAAAGATATATAAAAAGAATCACGTTATTTTATGTACACAAGTACAAATTTATTTAAGAATGTAAACCTTGAATGGAATGGAAGATGTGTTTGATAGCAAAGCTGATTGGTATAACTTCAAATTCATTTATGGAAAAAATCAACATTCAACTGAAGAGGCTAATGGCTCAGAAAGTAAAGTGATACTAAAAGCCACTCTGTGATAAACCAACCTGTTCACAATCAAGTACAAATAAGTTTTGAGACTTGTAGAATAGTCGCCACGATCCAAATTAGTAGTGAAATGGTTTCGAGCTCTTCAGAAATGTTTTTCTGTTTTAAATTTTTGATATAAAATGCTCTCGTTTCTCCATTCTTCCTCACCTTTTTGTTTCCATTTCTTCTAATTTCTGTTAATAAGTTAGTATATCTCAGGGTTTTATTTTTCAAATTAATTATAAGAGTGGTCATAGACATTCATTACGAGTTCTTGGCTGATTGAACCTTTACTCGGAGAATTTAGGACCGACGAAGACATTCTTTAATTATTACTAAAATAACACCAAGTTAAGGCTAATTACTGCAGCGCAACAAAGCCCTCCGCTATTTACGATGTATGATCATTCAAAACGCCTTCCTAGGGTCAACGTGACATTCAATTTAAGTTAACATGAACACTCACATATAATATGTACTACAACTGTTCTACAGTAAAAAACTAGTGGTGTAACAGAATGGCACAGACTTTCTCGTACTAGTTAGTTTTCTAATTCCTTTGGTTTGGCCTAGCTTTACAGTCTTGCCCCATCCTCTTTCCAACTGTATCTAACGCCACCCCAACTACATTTTTTAAAAAAAAGTCTTAATTTTTCGGTTTCCTAACTGTAGAAAAAAGAATGTATGTAAACTGAATATATATGTTTATATACAGTTTGTAAGCTGTTTATATGTGATATTGAGAATTTTAAGTCATAAATTTGTAATGATTTCAGAAAATATGTATAAATTGAATATTATTATTTTAATTTAAATAAAGAATTGAGTTGAATTATAATATACATTTTTTTGTAGCTCATTCTTGATAAATATTAAAATTAAAGTATTTATTTGACAATGAAAATTTCTCGTTTAGTAGTGCAGCTTCGCATAGATTTATGTTGAGAATGAATTTTGAGCTGCAGACAAGTTGGAGTTATGTATTGGTGGAGCTGCTGTGTATACTATAAAAAGAAAAAGGTGCCTCGTGGTGAAGTTCATTGGAGTAGGTCTTTAGTCATCATACTTGGTTTTGAATTCTTGTGTTGTTTGCAAAGAGATAATTTTCTAGCTGGTTCCACATATTACTGTTGGTGAAGAATTTCTTTAGAATAAGACCAGACCAGATCTTATTTTGTTAATTTCATGTAATGACTCCAAAGATGTGTAGTGTTTGTTCTTAATGTAGACTGTACATTTGTAAGACAAATCTCCTGCACTTTTTTTAGTTGTTGTATAATTTATTAATTGCAAAATATGACATAAACATTAGTAATGAGGCAAAGTTCAATTCATAAGATAATCTGTAAACAAAATGCAAAAAATTATTTTTACTAGAAAATTATAATTCATACTGAAATTGTTTTTCAGTGAGGGATTTTTGGTATAACTTCAAATCCTGTTTTTAATGGAAATCCCCATTCTTTGGTATTACATGATTCATATAGTTGCAAATATGCATGACTCTCGCTAAAACACATTAAATTTAACACCTCTGTGAGACTTAATAATACGACTTTACTGTCGCGACTCCCCGATTACTATGTGTATTCAGTGTGACTAGTGACCAATATCCCTTTCTTGTAAAGAAAACACTAGAAAATACTGAATGCGCCGAGGCGCCATCATAAATATAATCAGATAGTGTGCACCGTACGGACAAGCGAAGAACTAGCCTCAAAGTGGCTTCAGAAAATTTGCCCAAAAGGCTTTTTTCCCCTGCGTTTTTGTGCTAAGTGTGAAGTAGTTAGTGTAGGTTCGCGACGGACCTTAGTCGTTTGCCGGTTTGACAATTAATTTAGTCACTTTTGTGACTATGTCATTGTAACTGGTGTGCTCGCTCTATGTCCGAGAGGAGAGTTTGTCGTCTTTGTCCTAAAGTAAGTACAAGTCGTTGGAATTTTTTAAGCGTTGCTGAATTTTCGTTTGATTGAAAGGCTTGATAGGCATCATTGAATGATAGCCGTCTCAAGCATTCAGGGGAGGATTCAATATCAAGCTCCTTCCTCAGTATTTTCAGTCGTTTTCGAAACGGAGGGCGAGCTATGAGGCTCACAACTCTATTCTGAAATAACTCGTGAATATCCTTGCACTTCTGTGCTGTAGTCCACCATGTCGACGCGGCGTAGGTGGCCACAGGGCGGCAACACGTACCAGGCGAAGATCCAAGGGGAGAGAAGGTTTCTTTAAGAGAGGTTTAGGAGACGGAACCTTTCTGAAGTTTCAATCGGATTCGCCTAACATGTAAGTGAGAGAGCATCCTCTAATCGAAAGTGATTCCCGGATAAATTGCCTTTTTGGGTTCAGATTGTCATTTGTTTGGGGGTCATAAACCGCTTAGTGACCGGAGTAACCGCCCAAAAGGCGCCTAGTTAACACACCTACATATCTTACATCGTGATCATACTAGGTGTTGCATACGATGAGCGGTATAATATGGGTGTAACCGTCCGTAACCAGTGCCTAACGTAATGATAGAATACTTTGTTTCCGAGAGTTCTCCTTTGACTGACTACGGTTTTTATGTGGCACGTCAGGGACAGTCTCCACGAAGGAGACCTTGGCCTACTCTACTGAGAATGAGCCATATGGAGACATCACACTGCTTGATCCGGTCGCCATCATGTGACATCTAGTGACATGACGCGAAATGTGAGATATTCCATCCGGACGGCACGCCCTGACGAGCCACGTTATAAAACCCGAAGTATAGAAGCTGACACGTCATTTCATGAAGAATATTCACAATCTCGCATTACCATTCATTCGTCTACTTAGATTTATTTAGTAACAGAACAGTAAAACCTGTATGTGACGTATCGGGGAGAAGATTATTTCTCTTTTACTAATCTGTTTACTTATTTATTTAATGTAAAAAAGAGTTAAAAACTGCGTGTGACTTGCCATGGGGAGAAGTATTCTGTGCCATAGCCGACTAGGTATATTCATTCAATAATGTGTACTATATTCAAATAAATTTGTACAAATACATAAATAAATGCCAGCCGCAATGTTAGACAACATCCAATACCACATATGTGGACCGTTATGATTGTTCCCACCTATATGTGGGTGTTATTGCAACCTTCAAGCATAGAATGCATTATCCCCATTAATTTCAGCCTCTTGCATTCGTTGTTGATTTTACGTTTTAAGTGTTTGTTGTGAACAATGTAATGTGAACCGCGTTTGCAAAATTACCTGTTTAAAAAATTGTTTTGTTGAGATTGCATTGTTCAGTTAAAAAAATAACTTGAAAATGTTTGATGAAATCGCAAACATCTTTTTGTGAGTTGATGCCTTTATGAAGGGCATTTGTGCAAATGTTTGATATGAATATGGTTTGTTATGCTATTTGTTTATGTTTTGATCATCGAGTTTGTTGCCGATGAACCATGAAGCTCTTGTTATTTTCTTAAGTATTTGTTTTAAATTTTTTGCATTTTATTGAGATTAGTTGTGGCAGCATTGGTCCAGATAAGTTGAGCGAATAAAATTATGAACGATTTGTAAAAAAGACATTGGGTCGGTTGCATAAATGTTCGATATTAAATCCGTAAGCTTATTCGTACTATAAAATAGTCCATAGCGGAAAAACGTATTTCTATACC